TTAAGCGTGACAGTTAGACAGTGGAAATTTTCACGTTTTATAGGTAATCGTACCTTTCATACGTGAGTACAACTCGCACTTGTTTTTAAATTTGGCAATGAACTTGTGCAAAGGAGTCACTTTGCGCTTAATTTGGATTGTTAAATAGCAATGTAGGCCAAAACATCCTTGTCATTCTCATAATACGTTTTGCTGACACTGTCATAATTAAACAGAGGCATTGTACTCCCATTATTTTATAAATGATAAATCTATTCATTTCCAATTACCTAGGACTTATTTAAATATTAGCTGAGATTTTTAACTAATCGGCAACAGAAAAAAACTATCCTATGAAATTAAATAAGAAAAGAAAATCTCGTGATATTTCGCACCGTAGCCTCGGGGCCACCCAGATGTAGAGCAGACTTAATAGCGTTTTAGTCATATTTTGCCAAATGTACATCTTTTCAGATACATTCAAATGTTTTGCTTGCTTAATTTCGTTTATATTTTAACAACAAAGGAAAGGCTGTCAATAGTTTAATGTTCCGGCCAGTCTTGCTATTCAGTCCGAATTCAAACCTTGATCGATGTTAAAATTAAATTATTAAATTGGATTTTAAACTATTTAATGCGTGCTTGATATTGGATGAAGCATTATGAGTACCATTAATTCGGATTATCATTTATTAATTTTTTCTTTAGCCGAAGATAGGAGATCTTTGTCGAATAGTGGGAAATATGTTAATAGTGTGTTATTTTATTTTGTTGCAAGAAAGATGACGATAACTAAAACGTAAGAGTCAACGTATAAATAGGGCACCATGTTCTTTTATGTAGTACTACATGTTACCTACATGTAGGTCATTTCCTTCGTGTGCTCGCTTTGGAATTTACAAAGCTACGACTTTTATGAAAACGTAAAAGTCGTAGCTTTATAAATTCCTTACTTGCAATTAAAAGTAAGAATATTACTTTATGACACATTTACTATCTATTAAAAATCATATATGAATTTGAGACACAATTTTATTGTTTCGCAAAACGTTACGTTTCGTCAGAACTAGTAGCGTGAACGCGTTTAAATAGATCTTATACCTTTAATCGATCAGATATTGTATATTATATATAATCGGAATTTCGGAAACGGCTCCAGCGATTTTCATGAAATTTTGTATGTGCGTAGATGTGGGGGCGAAAAATCGATCTGGCTAGGTTTCATTTTTAGAAAATGTCGTTTATCCTTGTTTTCAGGGAGGAAAAATATCATTCGAATATGACGGTTAATTTCGCCGAAAAAAATGTTATAAAAGCTAGGTTGGTAATTGGGCGGCCCCGAAACAGAAGGCGGAAGTCCGTGTCACGATCATTTAGACACTTATTTTTTTTACTTTTTTTTAAATACTGAGCAAAGCTCGGTCAGCAAAGGTACAAAAAATAAAAGTAAATGATAAAGGAAAAGAAAGTTAATTATTAAAGAATAAGCGTCAATATTAAGTATTTAATTATTCGATGTCTAATACTTTAGTATTGTCTCATTAGTCCTAGATTTTTTTAGTTTGCATAATTCCTTATTATATTAACGTTTCCAAACGCTACTTGTGTAATTAAAACACTGCAAGCTTAAGCTGTGCAAGTAATAGACCTGTAATATATAAACATTAAAAAGTATTAATATAATTCCTATTAAACGTATTTGAGCCTGAGCCAAGCATTCATCTTCCTGAGAAAGCTTAAAATGAGAAAGAAAGCAATGTAGGTAACAGAAGTTGAGATTTTCATCGATGTGGCATACAGCCATTTAGCTTAGTGGTTAAAGAATATGGGTTGAAAAGCTATTCGTCCATTTTATCTACAAATTTTAATGTTTCAACCTAATTGTAATTATAAAAATATATTTTTGGGTGTTATATGTTAAATTTAACTATAATGCACTGGATATAATTAAGCAATATACATTAGGAAATTATACATAAGCAAATAGATTTATTTTACCCAGAAATTCATTCAAACACCGGATTAAACAGTTTTACCTTGGGGGCCGTCCATTAATTATATATGTGAATACATAAATGATAATATTAGAGCGATATAGATTTGGAACACTTCACTTATCTCTTTTTCCATAAATTGTGATGCTAAATAGCCGAATTTTCAAAAATAGAACGCGAATCGAATCGTAAAGGAAACAAATCCCCCGTGTGGAAAATAAGTTCAAAGTAAATCTGTTCACCTAGGCGAGAAAATCAAGTAGAACGGAAAGTGTTTCCACTCAGTGAATCACTGCGAGTCGGTGCCGTCGTTATAAAATAAGCTCAATAACAGAAACATGCAAGGCAGTAAATAAAACCTTACTACATATGATTTTTTCTCCACACTTATAGGGCAATTGAGTACATCGTTATGATCATCATTTTATTTTTATTTAGAATTTTAAGGAAATCAACAGCTAGTACATAATTAAAGTATAGGGAAACAAATACAAGAGGCCAATGTTTCCACATTTAGACAACTAGGTATAGTAGCAATGATGTTTTAATGACGTTGGCGCGTGTCCATACTGAGCGGCGTTTAAAAATTGTTATATTATATGACATGTATAAGTGAATGTGATAGAGGATTTAGAACGCACGATACGGAAAGAGATAGCAGTCCATAGAATTACAATCAAGTTACACCAATTGGCGTAATTTGAGTACCTAATGCACGTTTTCACCATCGATCCCTAACTTTAAGGGACTTGAATACTATTTAGAAAGTTAATGTTAATTTCCTACAATTTCATTCAACCTCTTTGGAGAAAAAATAAAACATAACAAAATAACTTTAAACACCAAGTCAACCGTCGCAGTCACGATGCCCTCATTTATCCGTATTCGAAAAAGATATTTGTAATAGCATAGATATTGCATACCCTGGTTATTATAGGACCTCAATGATACCATTTTAGATCCAACATTATTAATCATGTTTAAAGTACATTTTTTATAATGACATGCTCATTTTTTTTTACTACGAGCTCACGAGTGTTTTACTATGAGCATGATCGTTATGGCGGCGACAAGAGAGAGAATATCTGGTGCATTGATCGAAATAAGTTAAACGGAGCATATTTTTTCCAACTACAGTGTCTGTAATTCCGCGGGCGTTCCTACTATCAACAACAAAACTTCTCAATGGGAGCTATTGCAGCGGCTTTAATATTTGCCGGATATAATACTGCGCTCACTCTCTGTGTTGAATGGCAAAAGTTTAATACACGACATTTAATGTAATGCGAACCTGGATATAAACATGAGTAGAAGCGTAGCGTTAGCGTGCTACATGACATGGTATGGCATAATGGTTCTAAGTCATGTATCTCACGAATTTTGATACACATGATATAAATGTTACTATCTACTCATCGGACGTTTTGACTTTTAAAAAAGAGAATGAAAACGAAGAAATCAATCACCTAAATCGTTTATTTGTAATGGTTTATTATTAGAACTTGGCCGGAAAATTCAGCAAAATACTTTACGATGTTATATTATTATTTTCTTTCATAATGTTCGTTATTAGTGGTATTTAATGTATTAAAAATATGAAAATTCTAATTATACGACGTCAAATATCAATCAAGCTAATGTTATAAAATGCCACCTACATTAAACTATAAAAATAAGAGATATTAAATGGAATAAAAATATTTTTCTGTTTGAATATCGGTTTTAATGTGTCGTGCTGGTTATTTATCTCCTGTGTGAAAGGTTTAAGCATGAGTTATTAAATTGATTAAATATTTATGCCCTTCATTTCATTCGTTGCAAAAGGCTTTTGTTGTGTATTAAGGGCACACATCGTACTTCTTGTTTGAATTTTAATTATACAAAAATTATCGCGTAAGTAAGTAAGTACGAAAGTGGCGAATAAATTTTTATGTTCTAAAAGTATACAGGCTCAAGGTCATATTCAAATGAGCATACTTGATACGTACTAATGGTACTAATTAGGGACAAATTTAATGGTAATAAATAGTACCAAAAATCTTATAAAAATTTCAGCCACATTTAGACTCTTAATTGGAACTCTAAGATAAGGAAGCATTTTGGAAGTTAAATCATTAACTTTCAAAGTAAAATAAGTAAAATAAAAAAAACTTTAATTTCTAGCACTATACTAAATATAATAAATTTCAAAGTAACAGCTTATATATATAAGGGGTATTATATATAGGGTTTGTACATACGTTATCAAAGCACTGTCCACCACTGCGAACCGGTAGAGTTCACATATTTGAAAAATATTTTTTAATATTATTTTGAAAGGTTTCCTTACAATGTTTTCGTTCAACGTTGCGAACGTAATATGTATTGGTATTTGAACTCGGGTAGCTTGAATATATTCAATTAAAAGCGAGCACTCAGAATTTGACCTGTGATGACTATTTGCTTTATGATCTGTTGGACACCTATTTTACTTTTATTTTTTTATTTAATATCCTAGTTATTTAATTTTTTATTTTTTAATTGGCTTAATGGACCCGTCTCTTGCGCTGGAGGGTGAGGGCTCGTGCCCCATTAATGGAAAATAATGTGTGATGAACACAGTGTTTTTATACTGTCCGGTTTCTGTTTATCTATAATGTCATGTATTTATTATAAAGAAGATTATTAACTACGTTTATAAGTTATCTAGTATAATATAGTGCAAGCTTTGCTTAGTTTGAGACTAGATAAGGATGTGTAAATGTCACGAAATTTTTATTTTTTTATTATTGATTCCAGTCTAGTTTTTTTAACCTTAACTCAAAAATACAAACAATCAATTACCATATGGCTATACCAGAAAATCGGTGAATAAATAAAAACATTTTTGTTACAGATATTCCTCTACACGCTTCTGTGATGTGAGCTGAAAATGGCGATACTACAGGAAGACTGGCTGTCAAGCAACCATATAAATGGCTTTCTTCTGAAAGCAGACACCAAAACTTGAAGTTGTAAATATGTTGGGAAAAATTCTGTCATAGTAAGATGGAGTCAACCTTCGTTTTTCCAACCTATGTAAGCATTTAATTTTATATATTAGACAATTAGCAACTTAAAGTTCCTTGATCATGTTATATAAGTTTAACCCCACATTATTATTTTTCACCGCGAGTAGACATGGTCAGACATAACCGTGACTTCGTTGGTAAGAGATATAGGGACGTATTCTTCATAAATATATGCAATTATCATCTGCCATTACTTCGTAAAAAAAAGTAAAGTAACAGCCTATACATGTCCCACTGCTGGGCAAAGGCCTCCTCTATACAGAGGGTATACAGAGGTCAGTGACTGATAAAGTCATCAGCTGGTCAGTTAGTCGCTAGCCCTTACAATTAGATAATGAAAACAATTACTTTTGATGATAATTCATTTATCTTAAGATATTTTTAATTTGATAATATATGCACAGTTCCCATTACGATAAATGTTCAGAATTCGAACAATACTAGTGAAGAAATTCATTCGGGTCAAGTACTGAAACAGATCAAACATAGCCCATTGTTCGAGAATTTCATCGAACGCGAGATCGGGTTGGTCTAAGAGTACGGTTAATATTTATGGCAAGCTTTGGCGTAGCTCCCACAACAATACCTATCCGAGGTCGAGTGGTTTCGATCTTTCTCGAGAGAATAATTGAATGATACAGATGTTTGTGACAGGTGGCCCCAGAGCTAAACGATACGACGGTTGTATATGATAATGTGGAAGATCCTGATGCGGTGACACTCCTGTCCATACTGCTCGTCGGTAAGTGGATATTATCATAATTTTTTTGCAAACCATAACACAAGTGAGTCTCTTGTAACAAATATTCGATTAATCTGTTTTAATGGATTATTATCTGTTTTAATAAAAATCTTGTGCCGCAAGTCTCAAAACAAAGTAATCCCTAAAAGTCCATAAAATTTCTTTTTAAAGTTTTCAAATTATCCATTACTTTAAATCTCGTATATCGTATGTATCTTGCTATTTGAATTTTATAGTTTATTTTAATGACTTTTGAGCCGGCTTTTTAGATTATTTACCCGACTATATTGTATTAAATGAATAAATTACCGATTTCGCCTGTTTCTTAAACAAAGAGGCGGGCATACATCTAAGTCATTAGTTGTGGACGTAAACATTCTTAAAATTAAATCGTATGAAATGTGTCAATTTCACGCCATCAAATTTATTGTTCCCTTTAAGAATCCAAATACATTGTGTATATGTTTCAATTATTCAATTAATAAAAATCCCTGTGACATGAAAAGTCATAGTTGTGGACGTAAACATTCTTAAAATTAAATCGTATGAAATGTGTCAATTTCACGCCATCAAATTTATTGTTCCCTTTAAGAATCCAAATACATTGTGCGTATGTTTCAATTATTCAATTAATAAAAATCCCTGTGACATGAAAAGTCATAGTTGTGGACGTAAACATTCTTAAAATTAAATCGTATGAAATGTGTCAATTTCACGCCATCAAATTTATTGTTCCCTTTAAGAATCCAAATACATTGTGTATATGTTTTAATTATTCAATTAATAAAAATCCCTGTGACATGAAAAGTCATAGTTGTGGAGGTAAACATTCTTAAAATTAAATCGTGATGTGTCAATTTGAAATTATTGTTCCCTTTAAGAATCCAAATACATTGTGTATATGTTTTAATTATTCAATTAATAAAAATCCCTGTGACATGAAATTAATGACCATCATTACTAGGAAACTAAACGTTATAAGCTACATTATTATACAAAAATTGCTTAAATATGTTATAAAAACAAAGTATAGATAAAGTACGTATAGAGCCGTTTAGCTCAGTGGCTAGAGCTTGGGCATGTATCCCTGAGGACATGGGTTCAAATCCTTGCAGAGACCAAAAATTTTTCGTCCGTTTGTCTACAAATTTTTAAATTACTCATTGTGGTTCTTTTTATGCACATTCATTTATACAATGAAGAAATCTGTTTGCTAATTGAGTAGTTAAAGTCCCTCATATTTATACTGCCCTATTTATTTACCACGTACTAAGTACCTACTCATTTTATTTACTTTTTCAGGTATATTCTTGTCACTATTAATATTTGTAAGTGCCGCTGGAAATATTCTAGTCTGTATAGCAATTTACACGGATAGGGGTCTCAGGCGTATCGGCAATTTATTCCTAGCATCATTAGCTATCGCAGATATGCTAGTCGCAGCTGCTGTTATGACATTTGCCGGAGTCAACGATTTGCTAGGGTAAGTTAATATCATTTTTAATCTTCTGGGTTGTATTGTTAATCGAAAGCTTTATATCCATACGTGATTGGCTTTTGTATGGATTTAACGTTTTTTATGTTAAGCGTTCGAATAAAATATAATTTTGATAGTATTCTTATTTATTAAAATTTATAATAATAATAACCATTAATAGCTTTAAGAATAATGAACCATTAGCAAATTAATAATTTTCATTTCTACTTTCTACTTTCTATTTAATTTTCAATTTCTACTTAATGGTGTGATAACTCATACTGTAGTTAATTTCTGCTAACGAATCTCATTATGCTGTGGTGAAGGGTCATTTTTGGCACAGTAAAATGTTAATTTAAAAACTTCATAAAATTAACGAGACTTAAAGCTGATAAAGGTGAATTGGGGAGACAAAAATGGCGTTTTTTTTAATGTTAGTACCGGCAATTACCTCGTTCAAATGTATATTGTAAAATTTCATTTGAAAGTGGTAGCTTAAGCTGTTGATCGCTGGTTGGTGGAATTCTAAAAATGCAAAGTATATGTTGAGATTTTCGCGCCGTAAGGATTTTGGGAAATTTGTACTGTTGGCTAGAGCGTCAGGGTACATTACCAAACGTACTATAAATACTAATTTAATATGAGATTTTTAAGTAATTGTTGAGACAGATTTTTATAACTATGTCTAAATAGTTTAATGTTATCAGAATTGATTGCAGTTCTTCTGCATTTTATTACAACATATTTAATTTATTTTTTAGGTACTGGGTTTTTGGTGAGCAATTTTGCGACACGTGGGTTGCGTGTGATGTTATGTGCTCTACTGCCTCCATTTTAAATTTATGCGCCATCTCACTAGACAGGTACATCCACATCAAAGATCCCCTCAGGTAATTGAATTAAATACTTAACTCATGCTGTGAAGTCTTGTTCTTTTGTGGTGTGAAATCTTATTTCCACCAACATTCCATACAACTTGTATATTATTTCGTGTGTATTAAAATTTTTACTTTTCTTTTTACATTTTTTATTATTATTCACCATTCGGCCACACAGCAACTTTTGCTGCTGGGAAATAGGAAGACCGCCGTGAAGTAGAAGTGAATTGATATTCACTTAACTTCAATAGGGGCGCCTGCCCGCTTGCCATCTTCTAATAAAAAAAGTTTTTCTTTGAATTTTTCAGTAAATTCAAAATGCAGTACAATGAAAATGTCAGTCAAATCTCACATTTAATGCACTTTGACTTGTATTTATTTTCATTCTAATAAATGTATTTATTGACAGATATGGTCGTTGGGTAACAAGACGGGTCGCAATTGTTACGATAGCTATGATCTGGCTACTAGCAGTACTCGTCAGTTTTCTACCAATATCATTAGGCCTTCACAGGCCACCTGAAGAAGCAGTGGCAACAGAGAAGCCCCCGAGATATCCAACTTGCGCCTTAGTGTTAACACCTACGTATGCCATCGTATCCAGTTGTATATCATTTATATTGCCCTGCATTGTTATGATCAGTATCTATTGCAGGTGAGTGTTATACAAACGATTATAAATTATAAATTCCTGCATTAAACTAACTTTCTTATGCACATACAATTTGTATATTGTGAATTTTAAGAAATATTATAACCTTATCATTTTATATTGTCTTATATTCATCGATGTAAGTAACATAAAAAAAAAAAAAATTCAATATGACATTTCAATTGTAATTTTTAATATGAGTTATATTTCGTCATGAGGTGAAGGTACTCGTATTAAAGACTTGGGCTACGGAGGAATTTGCAAAGTGGTAATCAAACATGATACGTTGATAATCAGATAATAAATTAAACTACGTATTCTTATAGGCTTTACTGCTACGCCCAGAAACATGTGAAATCCATTAGGGCTGTCACGCGTACAGTTCAGCTGCCGGACAACCGGACAAAGTCCGTCCGAACAAGGGTGCACACCCATGTACACTCTTCGCCCTACCACGTGTCCGATCACAAAGCGGCCATTACCGTCGGAATCATCATGGGCGTGTTCCTATTGTGCTGGGTGCCGTTCTTCTGCGTCAACATTGTAGCGGCTTTTTGCAAGACATGCATACCCGGTAGGTCAACCTTCGGTTTTTCTTTAACCGGCTGGGTTTAAATGAATTGATTGGGCTATCTAACCCGGCAGATATAAACGTGGGAATTATGAATACAACATTTTGAAATATAATAAATAATAAATATTAAAAGAAACCGTAAGTAAAACATGCTCCAACGAATAATCGTATAAATCATCTGTAATTTAAAAATGATAAAGATATTGATCGATTGATGATTTGCCTACTAGTCTTATTACATTACTCACTTCTTTCAGACCTTTAATATGAGTAGTTATTAATATAAAAGTTATCATACTATTAAGAGATGAAGATAACAGAAAGGAGAATACATATAAAATTGAAGACTTTTCCGTGTTCGGCTAATTAGGCATTCTGTTTCAGATTTGGCGTTTAAAATTTTAACGTGGCTTGGTTACTCAAATTCGGCCTTCAACCCGATCATCTACTCGATTTTCAACACTGAGTTCCGCGAAGCATTCAAGAAGATACTCACGTCCAAGTATCCGCTGTGCTGTGGCTATCAGACTGTCAGGGCGAACACGCCTACGAGAAACGATAACTTCGTCACCGACTATGGTACTAAGACGCTGGTGGTGCGGAGGAGCGGATCTCTTGGTATGTCGGGTGTTGATCCAACGCCTAGGTCTTCGGCGGAGTCGGTGAGGCCACTAAGGGACTACCACATATGACAGGAGGACGGGAGTAGCAATAATGGGCTACTCGACAAAAGTGATGTGGTTTAAAAAGCGTTCCTCCAATTTTAAAGGCATTTTTGGGGTTATCGTTGTCGTATTTGGCTCATACGAGTATCTTACATTTTTTCGAAAATGTTTTCTACTTATATGCACGTGAGTGGCCTCGTCTTAAAATTATCACATAATCACGGTACAGGCGTCGCCTAGTGTGAGCACCGCGTTTAATGTACGATTTTGGATAATCAAAAGCAATATATTCCTTAGCTTCTAAGTATCTTGTATAATCCCATGTTTTTGCTGGATATCATGTTTTTTTTACTATTAACCTCCATACTATGTACACCTACTACATTCGATTACATTTTACATTAAAATACATTGCTCTTTTGCAATATTTACTTTTGTTAGGTTAATTGATGACCTTGACGTATAATAACTATGGTAAAAAATTATGTAGTTAATTTAGTCCATCTCTGCAGAAGACTTTTAGGGCTTAAATTTAGAGCGTTCTAAATTGTCGTTATAAATTAAACTTTAAATTTTGTCTTATTATACTAAAATGAGAATATGGAAAATAGTGTATATGTATATATGTATTTATATAATTGTTAAAGATCTCGATCTCACATTGATATAGAAACATAAAAAAACTATATATAGAAATATAGAAATATTAATCATTACGTAAGTTATCTTACTCCGAATTGATTGATAGTTAATAATTCCTGTGATACTTTTGTAAATATATTTAAGCATTTTAAAAATACTCATGTCTCATTTTGAATAAATGACATTATTATGACAGATATCACTACGAAAGCTCTCAGAGGTTTCCATTATGTAACAAACGTTTATATATCTTTTGAAAATGATCACTTAAAATTTAATGAAGATACATTTATTTTGTATGTTACTATCTTTTGTTAAAGATTAAAAATAGCAATAATATAGAATAATTAATATATCGATGTAAAAAAAACTTGCAATGCAATATATCATTATAAAATAATTATATTCTATTAAAAAATTCTTATATATATCATTACAAAATATTAGGTGTCCTATATAAAAACAATAATTTACCACAAGAAAGATATTCTACAGCGTGTCGTTACAACCGCGACAATAAATGAACACACATATAGAGGATAACTTTTTAAAATTGTATTAAACGACGCTCTCTAAGAGCACTGACTACTCTATACTCTTTCCTGAACTCTTCTTCTTTTCCGACTTACTTATCCCATCATTTCCAATATCTATGTGCCGTTAGCAATAAAAACCTTCGCTCCTCGCATAATCGTCTTCTCGTATGTCCTCCTCACCGTTCTGATTTCATGCATTCTTCCTTCTTTATCCAGTCTATCCTTCTGTGGAATGAGCTACCTCTCAAAATCAGGTTGGCTAAAAGTCGCTTTGTATTTAAAAAAAAAGCACGTGAGCACATCCTCAAAAACTTGTCGGCAGGTCAACTCCATCGTTAATTGTCAGAATTTATTTATGTATATGTATATATGTATTTATAATTGTCTGTATACATTTATTTATGTATGTATATATGATTTTATGCATATATTTAGAAAGATATTTATGTATTAGTATGTATGTACATACACCTGTTAGTATTTTTATTATATATATACTATAATTAACATGTGTATATACTTTCATTTACAACAGTTTATATTTTAACAGTGTTTTCTTTTTATTTATTTTTTTTTGACATCTTTCTGTGCACCTACCGAATCTTCTCTGTACCACCCCAAGGTTGACTGGGAGATAATGCCTGTGGCATTAAGTCCGCCTCTGTACAGCTTGTGCATAAAGTATAAATAAATAAATAAATAAACATTTACATTCTTTAAACATCAATATTCACCGAGTTATTAAATTTTCCAAAACATACAATTTTAGAACATCCTTACGTATAAAACTGTAACGTAAAGTTCATTTGTAAAGGTCACAAAGCATATGAATGGGTTGAATGAATTTAAAAGAGACAAAACATACTGTTAGAAGGAGAGGCTTGTAATGCGACGCTGTGGCAACGAATGAAAAAGTCTCTGAATGTATGAATCAGTCAGTTGTAGCTATAGGATGTTACAAATTTTGTTTTTTTTTTATTTAATTAATTTGTTTAATTTTTTGTTTAATTATGTTTTTTTTTATTTTGTATTATTTTATGATTATTGGCAAGTAACGTTAGACGTGTGTTCATTTATTGTAGCTGTTGTATCGACACGCTGTATAGTTAGTAGTATTTATGTTAATTGAAATTAATTGAAAAGGATACATGTAAGTTCGATACATATTTATTGTACAAAGCAATATGGTGTAGTATCCTTTTACCTATTAAATAACTAGTTAATAACTGTAATATATAAATTTTGAACTAATGGGGAAAAGCGCTAATGTTTTAAAATTAGTTAATAAAGGACGAAGTTAGTATAAATAATTATTATATATTAAGGACATTGTAGAACATATCAGGTAGTCTTATAGTACTTAATAGATGAATATAAATCAATTTATATGGTAGAGAATACGCAGCATCACAATTTAAAGTTAAGTTAAAGTTTTACAACGCAAGTTAAAGTTACCTGAATTGGAATAAAAATTGCAAGAACATCCGCTCACTTCGATTTTTTTTTCTTTTAATTTCACCGAATTTATGTACCTGATTGCTTTAATTAAGATATCCTCATAATGGTTACAGTCAAGTTTATTTATTAATTTAAAACTTACTATATTTATTTACTTTCAAGCTTTAATTCGGTCATGTTTTGTCTATCGAATGTGACTTGTATGATTAAGCATAAAATGCTGCAAGTGAGAGTTGAATAAAAGTGGTGAATTAGTTTTCATATATTCCTCTGTGTCTATTATAATAGGCACATTATAATATACGTACTGAAAACCCATTTGCGTTTACCATGCATTAAATTATTTTATCTATTATATAATATAACTTTTTATTCACCAAATACAAGAGCATATAATCTTTTTTAAGTACATTGCTTATTTTTAAAATACCTTATAATAATTAACTATTGTTTAAAGAACAGGCTTAGTAAATATTTAAATACTTTCAGATACATTTTTATCGATGTATTAATATTATTTTATTGGTCTTTAATATTGAAATAAAATAATTATTGTAAAATAAAACTCAAACTGCGTTCTAAACATCCATGCAGTAAGCTATATCATTGCAGTGGTAACAAATTTCATTGGCGGAGCGCAAAAGACCGGGACAGAATTACAAAAGTAATATTTGATTTAAATAGGAAGCAAAAGTCTCTTAAGACTTTGAGATTAATAACATAATTGTATTCAATATCAGATAGTATTTATCAGAGTTTTATAATACATAACATTGTTCAGATTCTTTACATGACAGTGAATAAAAATCAAAGTTTTTATTCATTAAGTATCTAAAATTTAAAATGAATAGTATCAGAATAAATGAGAAATATAATTATGTAATTTTCATCAAACTCATTGAAATTTATACATACAAACAAAGTTTATTATACTATAGTTCATTTGGAATTTTAGATTAATAGCATGTCGCTAATGCATAGGGATAAATTATTTTATTTTACTGTTAATAGCCAAAATAATCTTAATTAGCAATTTCAGCAAGAGAGAAATTTCATTTATAATTACATTTTTAAATTAACAGACAAATTATAGTTGAGAAATATTGAGAAAGTAACTTTTAAGATTTTTATCAAAATGTAAACATAGTATTATGTAATCAAAATATAGAATATTCGGCTGTTTACAGTATAGTCCTAAAGGCTGAATAAGTTGTATTTGCTAAGCACTTACTTGAAATAGGAATGTTTTATTATTATTAATACTTCATAAATAAATTCAATGTTATCATATTGTAAACCTAAGTTAGTCATTAATGATAAATTTTCTGTGACATTTTTGTAAATAAATCTCTATGAAGCTTTGTCTAAGTGCGCCTACTAAGGTATTTAAATCAAAGTTGTAATTTCATGTATTAAAAAGAGTTTCTAGTCAAAATAAAATGATACAAAACTTATTGATTGTTCTTTATTACTTCGTACAAAATAACAAGTTCATTCCAAGACAATGAAGCCTTAACAATATCAAATGAAAATACGGAATCAGCAGTTCATACGACTTCAATTAATAAGACTACAGATGCTTTTAAGACTTATATTGAGGACTGTTACAATTCATTTCTAGAAATTATTTATTTGTATTTACTCATGCCTTCCCAAGTTTTATTTTCACTTTTGCAATGTGAAGAATATTGTTTAGTACTAATTATGAAACATAAAACAATAAATTTCCATAATGTACCGGGCGCTTATGAGCCAAAAGTCGACGAGGATTGCAGCTGATAAGGTCAGCAGCTGATTGGCTTACATTTTAAATTGAATACTATTTTAAAATTAGGGTTTTGCGCTTCCACTTGCTACACTTGAAGCGGTTGGCGACACATCAGCAATCCCTCATGTATTGTCATTGTCCAGCGGCAGAGGTTATCACTTAACATTTTTTTTTGTGTGTATAGTTGCCAAACGAGCAGACGGTTCACCTGATGGTAAGTGAATACCGCCGCCCATGGACATCTGCTACACCCGAGGGTTACAGATGCGTTGACAACCTTTTGAAAATTGGGCTCCGGCTACCTCACTCACCAGACATCAGTTGAACTACAATTTAGCTCACTGATTTCTTATTTTATACTAATACTAACTGCTACCCGTGACTACATCTGCGCAGAGGGGTGAAAATTTAGGGTTTTTTAGTTTCTACTTTTTTAGGTATTTTTGCATGCTGTATCATAAAAAAGATAAAAAAAAATAAATATTTTATAAAAAATTAAAAGGGCTTAATTAAACAATTTTTTTATTGTGAGAAGGTGGCAAGCGAGCTGGCGGTTCACCTGATGGAAAGTGATGAGCACCGCCCGTGGACATTTACAACACCCGTAGGGTTGCAGATGA